TCCCAGCTGAGGACAGAGCTTTGCCTGAAGACTGTAGCAGTTTTGCTGCCATGTACCTCCGTGTACCTGGGTGTGCACCGTTTCATGGATCATAGCGGCACCTGCCACTGCTTGGGGGAAGCTGGTTCCCGGCTCATCCCGAAGGACCGATTTCGTGCCGCTCTCAGGCAGGCTGACACACTGGGATGGGTGGGGCCAGAGGAAAGGCCGGCCCCACCTCCGTCCCCTCGTCATCATCCCGCACACCCCACCCATGGGCCACCAAGGTCCCAGGCCACACCACACCCAGTGTCCCCAGGAACTGCCCCCCACCCCCCCAGCCCCCGGCCCCACACCTGGCCAATTGCTCTGGAGCCCTCCTCCCAGTTGCAGAGATGTTCACAGACCTGAAGACGTAAACGTGCTCATTCTACTGCTAGCCGCACTCCGGAAAGCCACTCTGGGGGGAATTTATTCTACGCGCCCGCATTTAATTTCTAAAATCAGTCTGGGAAAGCAAGAGATTGAGGTTCGTTTTTAAAATCTATTTACTTGCGGGGCGCCTGGGTGGCGCAGTCGGTTAAGCGTCCGACTTCAGCCAGGTCACGATCTCGCGGTCCGTGAGTTCGAGCCCCGCGTCAGGCTCTGGGCTGATGGCTCGGAGCCTGGAGCCTGTTTCCGATTCTGTGTCTCCCTCTCTCTCTGCCCCTCCCCCGTTCATGCTCTGTCTCTCTCTGTCCCAAAAATAAATAAAAACTGAAAAAAAAAAAAAATTTAAAATCTATTTACTTGCAACCTAGAAACAAGCACAAAGAGACAGACTGTGGATCATCCTGGGAGGGAAGGGAGAGTTGTGAGCCAAAGACTATGCTCAGACTTTCTTTTTGTTGTGAACAATCAGCAGCAGCCTCTATGTGGACTGGACCCGGGAAGTGTCGTGTCCTGTGGGTAACATACCAACACAACATGGAGTGGGGGACGTGCCGAATGGTACTAGGCAGTTAAACACACGGGATCCAAATCGAGACTTAACGGCAAGTTCATTATCTAAAAATCAATCAGCTTTTCTTTGCTTCATCAAAAGATCAAATGATAGTGTATGCCACCTTACTTTCAGAATAAAATGTTTTTATTCTCAGACAAGTGAGAACAATGAGAATTATTCCATAATCTGTCAGGTACTGCACAGGCCGATTGAGGAGGGTTTGTGTCTCTGTGAGGGCAGGCTCGTGGCATGCCCGTCGTAGACGTGCAACAAGCTTCAGCGGCCAAGAACGAGATGATCCCGGAACGCAGCGTGGACAGAAAACACTGCGAGCGGTTCAAATGGGACACTCATGGCCAGGACTGCAGGCCTCCTTCAGGCCCAGACAACCTGGCCTCCACTTCCCCCAGAGCAGGTGGGCCTCCCCGACCTTCTGTAGGACCTGGTGAGGTCTCTTTGTCCTTCTGGGCACTGACAAGCCTCACATGACCCTTCCCAGGCCCATCCCCTCCCAGGATGATGAGGGTAAAGAGAACGTGGGTTCTAGCTTCCCTTGGTGCGGGCAGCCAGCAGTGGGGCCAGGGGCAAAATCACAGCAGTGAGGAAGAGGGTACCAGGCAGTTTAGCCACACCGCACAATCCAAGGTACCAGTTTCCACACGACTGCTCTCGCTCCAGAACCGGCCTCAGGTCTGGGGCCCCCGCACCACCCACACTCCAGCTGGCTGCAAAACTGGGGTTCTGCACAACCACCCTTGCATACCACAATTTGCCAGAGCCACCCACAGGACTCAAGGAAGGAGTATACTTAGGATTCAAGTTTCATTGTATCAAGAGGATACAGATCAGAACAGCCAAAGGAAGAGACGCACAGGACGAGGTAGAGGGTCCCACAGGTGCCGCTTCTGTGACCTCGGGACGCACCACCCTCCAGGCACATCCATGTCGGTCAGCAACCAGGGGCACTCAGCCCAGCCCGGAGCCCAGCGTTTCCTGGGGCTTCATTATATAGACACAAGACACGACTGATGACACTGCTGTCCGTGTGGTTGAACTCAACCTGCTGCTCTCTTCTCTCCAAGGGGTTGGGCTGACAGCCCATGGCCCGTGTGCCTGGTGCAGCTGACTCCGTCCTGAGTCACCTTGTTAGCAGCAACTGTCTAGGGGCCCACCCTGAGTCCCAGAGACATTTCTAGCCCTTGGGAAACTCCCAGGCACCAGGGACAGAGACCAGACCTCTCCTTGGGCTGAGGCCACCTTCTTCATTACACTGAGGGGTACTGGTCAGCGTTCTCCAGAGAAACAGGAGGCAATAGGGGGCTGATTCTAAAGAAGTGGCTCATGTAATTATGGAGGCTGACAGGTCCCCAGGTGTGCAGTCAGCAACCTGGACACAAGGAGAGCCAATGCTCTGAGCTCCAACCCGAAGTCAGGCAGGCTCAAGACCCAGGAAAGCCCATCTTTCAGTTCAGATCAAAGGCAGGAAAAACAACGCCTCTGTTCAAAGGCAATCAGGCAGGAGGAGTCCCTCTTACTCAGAGGACAATCAGCCTTCTTATTCTGTTCAGGCCTTCAACTGACTGGATGAGACTCACCCACACTAGGGAGAGCCATCTGATTTCCTCAGTCTACTTGATTCAAGTGTCAATCTCATCCAGAAACCTCTTCACAGACGCATTGAGAATTATGTTCGAGTAAACATCTGGGCACCTTGTGGCCCAGTCAGGTCGACACATAAACATCACAGGAGAAAAGACAAGCGTCCATTACTGTCCCAAGCACATGCTGGACTCAAAATACTGTATTAGAGAAGAAATGTGAAGAAAATAGCATCTATGATCAAGTACTAACTATGGTCATTTGTGGTCATGGGGACACGAACGGTTTATTTCTACTTTTCTGAATGTTTTGTGTTTTCTGTAATAGAACTTTCTAAGGAAGTAAAAACATAAGCAGCCATTTAGTCCCATAAATGGAGTGTCTTGTACTCAGCTTCAACTGGCTGATGCTCCTTCCCAACCCCGGTGAGGGTTAAACTGTCCACTCCACGAAGGGGAGGGGGCTAGGCCAGGCCAGCGCCATCCAGGGAGGCTCACAGCCACCTGCTGGACACGCTGCTGCCCCGGACAGTGAGCAAGGCGGGGTGGGCTGGACTCGGATGCACCTATCCCCCTTCCCGCCTCCAGAACCACACCATCCAACACGCAGCCCCCGGCCACATGCAGCCACTTGCAAACGGGGCCAGTCTGGACTGAGAAGCTCTCAAAATGTAAAACTCAGAGAGTTGTAAAAGGGCATGGGAAGTGTGTTATACAAACTCGTGTTTCCACACCGACTGTGTGTTGAGAGGACATTTGGGGATCTGGGGTTACGGAGAATGTGCTACTGCACCTCATCTCAGCTGTGTTACTTTCTTAAGACCGTGCAAAACGGCACACGTGTCCCCTGCCCGTTCCGAGTACAGCGGGCGGATTTGCTCCCAGCCTGCGGGGAGCCATAACAAGCTCTTCTTTGGGGGCACAACTCCTTCCAGTCCCCTAAATAAACCTGAGGCTCATTGGAGTAGATGAACTTTGACCCAAGGTAGCTCTGACAAGGAAGCCCTTAGAGCAGGAACCGGGTGGGAATTGCCATCGAGACCCCCAGAGCCAACAAGGCCAGGCCCTGCCCACCCGCCCACTGGGCTTGACCTGTCGCCCTGACATTCGATGCTGAGTGCTCACCCCTTTAAGCAGAATGTATGCTCAACTTGATATATATATATATATCACACGTGTACACACACACATATTATATTATATATGTATTATATATATTATATATTATGATATATATATTATATATTATATATATCACACGTATACACACACATATACACACACAGATGTATACGCACACATGTACACACAGATATACATGTGCATGCCTGCATGTGCAGTGTGTACAGGCATACATACACTGTGCATGTGCACACATATGTACGCGTATACACACACACGTGTGTGTACACATACATGTGCACACACACACATATGCACACATGTGCACACAAGCATACATACGTGTGCACACACGTGCATACACATATACATGCACACATGGGTACACGTGAGCATGCACATGTGTACATGTCTACGTGCACACACGTGTACACATACACATATGCATGTGCATGTACATATGTACTCATACCTATGCATATACACAAGTATACATATATATACATATGCATACATATACGTATACATATATATGTGCACACACATAAGATCATGCACAAATACAGATACACATGTACACACGAGCATGCATACATACGTGTGCACACGCATACATGTAGACACACGTGTGCACAGATATACATGACCCGTATGCATACACACATGCACACATATACATGTATGCACATGTGTACACACATGTGAATGCAGGTGCATGCACACACACATGCTCACACACACATTAAGCCCACAATGTCCAGATGAATGAGCCACACCTGCTCTGGAGAACACAAGTTTCCAAGGTAGAGGGCAGAGATTCTCCAAGACTAGGGGCTCGGTGGGCTGTAACCCCCACGGTTAGCACCCACTAGTCGTGTTCTGTCACAGAAGAGGGGCTGTGAGGAAGCTGTAGCAGACCGCCCGGGGCCTCCCAGAAATGGGTGCCACACCCCTCCTGGGCAGGTCCTGAGGCCCAGTGAGTTGGAGCGACAAGCCCACCTACCCTGTCTCCTGAGAAAGGGCGCGGTGGCCTCTCCGGCGAGGTGCTGTGAGCTGCCTGGACTCCAGCAGCGCTAACAAGTGGCACCACTGAGCGCTGGAAGCTTCCAGCGAATGTCTGCGCACTTCCCAGGTTGTCTCTGTCTGAAGGTAGAATGACAGCACTGACTACAACGACACGGAACAAGAAGCATCTAAAATACCTTTATTGTCTCGTCATTGATCCTGTTTCCATCACACACTTCACAGCGGTTCGCCAGCTGGACCATTTCACTTGGGTGTTTCTGCCAACCTTCACTCTGCCTCCACCATACACCTCAGTCCTCAGTTTCTTCATCTTCCATTATTGTCAGTGTTGCTGGATTTAAGATAAAGAAAGAGTGGATCTTTTGAATGGAATACTCAGCCACGTCATGAGGTCTGTGAACACGCCAATTATATGCCATGTAAACAATGATTTACTCAAAGGCCAGTTTGGTCAGTGGGTCTGTGCTGCCTGCTCTGTTACCCAAGGAGAGCGTGGCTTCTGGTGGCTTCGCTCTGCAGAAAGTGCCCTGAGAAGGTGACGCCCTGCCCTGCGGGAAAGACCACAGCTCAAACACGGCTCGGTCAGGGGCAAGGATCTGGATCCTAAAAGACGTTTCAGGAGACCTCTTCTCCCCGCCCTTCTGCTTCCCAACTGCTCCAGTAAAACCAAGTCTCCATGACTGACGGGTTAAGGAGAGACCCAGAGAGGGCGTGTCCCTGCAGATGCCACCTAAGGCAGAACTGACCATTTGGGACGCTTCCTTCTCTAACCCGGCCAGGTGCTCGCCTGTGAAAAGCAACGATGGCCAGAGCCCCGGGAGAGACTTAATACATATATCAATGCCTGTGCTTCCTGCAGAGCACCCCCCTGGGACCAGCAGCAGCAGACCATCAGGCCGTCACGGTAGCGGCCGGGTCCCCGCACCACCGCCAGGACGTGCCCGGCACAGACGAGCTCCCTCAGTTGCGCCCTGTGCGGGGACAGCCCTCCGCCTCACCATCCTCTTCCTCCTCCTTGCTGTCCTTGCTCCTGTTCAACAGCTCCGCACTCCCAGGCTTGGACCCCACCTGCTCGCCGGAGAGCGTCAATTCCACTTGATCGCTGGACATGGGAGACGGAAGCAGTTCCGTGCGGACTTCCTTTTCTCTCCTACTCTCCTGAACAACTCTAACGGGGAGAGACTCTTTGTTACAATCAGGGAAATTAAAGATGGAAAACTGAATGGGCCACTCAGTCCTCCACCAGGACGTCCCCCTCAAACAGGGTTCAGGGTTCAGGATCACGCTTTGCCTTAATAGCTCCCGGGTTAGTTTCCTATACAGGCTGCAAACACACAATCGTGTGTGGCATTCAGACTCCAGAGGGTGAGAACAGGGACGGGGCAGTATGACTGTGCAGAAAGGCCACTCAGGATGTCACCGGGCACCAGAGGAGTTCCCACAGGAGGGGACTGGTTTTCCTTGCTGTGGGACAAAGTGACTTGACTAGTCTCACTGGCTTTTCTCCATGTCACAAGGGGGCTTGCGGTAGGGGTACCTTGGCCCCGAGTGGCAGCGAGGAATCCAGGCCTGCCTGGGGGCAGCTGCCAGTGGCCACGGCCTCGTGTCCTCCCCACCGAAAGGAAAGGGCAGATTCTCATCTACACCGTAACAGCAGACACCGGACAGGGTTCTCACGGGCAAACGGGGGCCGGCAGGGGGCTGACAGTGTGGGTGCTCCTTAAACGTTGGCATGGGCCGGGGATGGGGGCTGCTGTCAGGAGCTCAGGCCCTGAGAGGATCCCCCACCTGCTCCCTAGCGCCCTGCGTCCTGCACCTTTTGCGGGTGAGTTCAGACAGGGAGAGACAACTGACCTGTAAATGATAGTGATGACAAAGGCCCCAGCAATGATCACGATCAAGGCAGAAAACACCTGCACGTAGACTGGAAAACAGTTTGTTACAAGTCAGTCCTGCCTCCGAGGTGGGCAGTACCCCTGCCCCTGCCCAGGCGGCCTCTCCTCCAATCCTTCCCTGGGGACACTGCCACGGGCTCCACGCGGGCCATGAAGAGGACAGCTGAGGGCTGCCCATAAGACAGTGGTGCGGGCAGCTCCCTGGTCTCCTCCAGAAAAGCCCCTTTGCCGCCCACGATCTGGGCCTCCCTCCTCCAACTCCCAGAAACCGGTTTCTCCATCTTCAGGCGAGTTATCCCAAGGCTGCCGTACTAACAAGGGGCTCCACTGTCCCCACACTGCCCATGTCTTCCCTAGACGAGCCCACCGGAAGAGCCAAGGCCTCAAGGTGACTCTCGGAGGGGGCAGGCGGCCCCTGTGGCCATGGTCCCCAGTGCAGGAAAGCTCTGGGCCCCTTTTCACCCCCGTGGAAACAGGCGCAGGTGAGGCCCAGCCTTCTCTTGGGGACCCTCCACCGCAGGACCCTCTCCCACCCAGCTGGGATGGACTTGTGGGTCTCCGTGTCACAGAGCGGTCTCAGGCAGAGCGAGGCACTGTATCCGGGAGCCCTGGTGCCCATGAGCATGCCCCGGCGGGAGCCCTCCACCCAACACGGTCTCCGACAGGCAGAGTGAAGGGTCCAGGGGACTGGAGGGCAGAGCTGAGCTGCCAGCAGGCAGCACACACACCGTTGTCACCACTGCCGCTTCTCTCGCTACTTTCACTCTTAAGGGACAGAGACCAGCCTCCTTGCAAACCCCACCCTGAGTGACAAGATGTGCTTCAAGTCTCTTACCTCCTCCCATAAACCGTTTTCACCCATCCTTAACTGGCAGGAATACTGCTGGACGCTGTGTCCTTGGGAGCGGCCTTCGTGTCCTGAGGCAGCTGGAAAAAAGCACCACTAACCAGTGGCTTAACGCAATAGCGAAGTACAGTGTCTGGGTTATAGAGGTGGAAATCCAAAATGGAGGTATCCCTCGAAGACTCTGGGAGGTCCTGCCTGCTTCTTCCATCTCCTGGTGGGCCCGGCGCCCCCAGGTGTCCTTGTCCTTGTAGATGCGTCCCCCGCTCTCTGCCTCGTCATCTTGGGGCATCTTCCCCACGTGACCCTGTCTTCATGTGGTGCTCCCCTTTGTGCGCTGCGTCTAACTCAGGCTCCTCTTGGAAGGACACCAGTCGTACTGGAATCAGGGCCTCTACTCCAGCGTGACCTCATCTTCACTGATCACATCTGCAAAGACCCTGTTTCTACATAAGGTCACATTCACAGGTACCGGAGGTTTGAACTTCGGCAGATCACTTAGGGGAACACGGTTCAACCCATGACAGAAGGTTAAGCAGTAGCTGCAGAGAAAGCTGCTTCCCAGGCATGGGAAGGTGACTCCAGTGGGAATTATATTCTCTGGACTGAGCCAGAGGGTCTCTGAGAACGGACGGGGCCTCCGGGATCCTTTCCGTGGGGGCTGAAGTCAGAAAACTGAAGGGGGCTGAAGCCAAATGCTTAATTTTTTCATATTGATATGAGCTCAGTAGGGGATGGTCAGGCATAGGAAGGGTGCTCCGTGGTCAAGCGTGCATCAGGAAGAGGACGGAGGGGGTGGGGGGCTGGCCTGTGTGGTCACCAGCACACCACAGCAGTGAACCAACTGGCGAGCTACTTGTTGGAGGCTCTGTTCTAATCAGCCGGGGCTTCTCTCAGGGATGCCTTTCCCAGGGCAATGTGTTCACCTGAGTTCACCTCTCCATCCCCAGGGCTAGAACACAACCAGCCTCTAAGATGGCCTGCGGGAGGGCTTGCCTCCTGGTATTCACACGCAGGTCAGTACAGACACCTCCATGGGGCAGAGATAGCATTACCTCTGAACCAGGGTGTAACTTCTAAGGCTAGGTCAGAGTGTCACTGTGGCTTCTACCCAGCTTTCTCAGGTCACTCGCTCTGGAAAGAGACAGTCATGTCATAAGGACAGGGAAGCAGACCTCACGGCATGGGAAAGGGGTTCCTGTTAACCGTCAGAACCACGTGCCCACAAAGGGAGCCACTTTGGAGAAGACCTTTCAGTTCCGGTCGGGCCCTCGGATGGATGAGTGGCCAAGCCCCACACCATCCAACTAAGCTTCTAAGACATCACTTTAGATCATTTAGACACAATTTAGGAATTGTGTCCCCCCCCCCCAAGTGATCTGTTGGTCCAAACCTCTGGTACCTATGAATGTGACCTTATTTAGCTAAATTTTGAGCAATTTGTTCTACAACAATAACTAATACAAGGGTGTAGGCAAAGGGCTTGGCTCAGAGAAAGTATACTTTGAGTGATGCTGAATGAACTGAATGCAAGGACTCAAGTGAACGAGCAAACCAGGAGCTTTTAAGGGACAAGAAAGGAGCCCTCAAATTCTTGAATTCCGGGGAATATATGCTCCTCAGTGGATCCCTTACTTCATGGTGTAAATTTAGAATTTATGTGAGTGAAGCCGTTGAAGAGACACACGCACATGGACCATGTGTGAGTATTCAAGTCTCAGTATAGCTTCCGCATCTTTACAGGTGCAAGTATTTTTGGTCCTTGGTGTCAAGTTCATGGAGGCAGAGACTGCATCTCCGTGACTCTCTCTGCACAGGAGCTGGCCAGCACACAATCTGTTATAAACGATATGTATGGTGTATCATAAACAAGATGTTGTGATTGGTCACAGAGAAATGGCAGCAACTGAAGAAAGTATAATTTTCTTTCAGAAATCTCTTGGTAAGTTCGCCCCCAGATGCAGTTTAAAGTTTTGAAATCCTCTGCATGATTCCCATGAAGAAACAGAAGTCAAACACTTGGAAAAAAGTGACGTGTTAAATAACGTGCCCTAAAGACTAAAGAATGACAAAAAGTCCTTCTCTTTGGATTCCCAATTTGTTCTCAAAGATCTAATGCTAATTTCCCAAGTTCATATTCTTAATAATACAGATTATGCCACAACACAATGTGCACTTCAAACCAGCCAATTTAAGAAGCTGGTGAAAGGTTTTCCTAACATAGAATTATGCACACAAAGAACTCCCAATACCCTGTCACCGAATACTACAACTTACACAGCACAAAGGCTCGCTTGCCGTCTTGAATGAGAAAGATGTCAAGGAAATGAAAAATATCTTGAGGGCTCAGTGAGAACCCAGATGCAGGGCTCACTGCCCAGACTCTTCCCACAGACGGCCCAGCCTCTCGAGCCTGAAACAAGTTAGAAGTTAAGAAAAAGCCTCGCCCACGCAACTCCTGTATGAACAGTGCAAGGATGGAGAGAGGATGAACACTTGTCCCCATGCAGAAACGATATCCCCACTTGTAGAACAGTGACGCCTCTTCCAGGACAAAAAATTCTTGAGACTTTGTGTTCTTTTCTGGGTTCCTTACAGACACTGGTAAATCAGGTGCTGTCAAGAACAAGGCTCATTCTTCCTTCCCCTCTCCCGTGGCCTTCTGTTAAGTTTCTCAGGATCCACATAAGAGAGAAAACACAGGGTATCTGTCTTTCTCTGTATGACTTATTTCACTTAGCATCACACTCTCCAGTTCCATCCACGTTGCTACAAAAGGCCAGATTTCATTCTTTCTCATTGCCACGTAGTATAAAAAAAGTTAGAGCGGGAGACAGCCAAACCATAAGAGACTCTTAAAAACTGAGAATAAACTGAGGGTTGATGGGGGTCGGGGGGGGGATGGGCACTGAGGAGGGCACCTGCTGGGATGAGCACTGGGTGTTGTATGGAAACCAATTTGACAATAAATTTCATATAAAAAAAATTTTAAAAATGGGAAATAAAAAAAGAATAAGGCTCATTCTTCATATGAGTAATGGGCATAAGTAATAATGTTAACATAAGCAACGTCTCAATTGCATACTAACAAGCACAAAATGGCCAACTCCTGCATAAAATGCTCCTGACAAGATGCTCGGGGGGGGGACAGATGGAAACAGAAGCAGCAGCAGCTTGAATCTGTGTACCCTTGCCAGCTGCGATCTCCCTTGAAGGATCCATTTCGCCACCTTCTGCTGTTGGGGCCGTCTCCCCGGGGCGGGAGTGAATCGGGGTGACCACCAAAGACCGTGACCGCGTGCGTGACCTCATCAGGGAACCGAACAGCTTCTGCACCTTCATACGTAGAAGACTGAAAGAACACATTCAAATGCCCTTTGGATGGGAAGGTCTCCTGCTTTTAGAAGCCCCAAATGGTAAACATCTCTGAAAAACCTCAGGAAGACATCAGAGCCTTCCAGGAAGGAGAACTCCACGATGGAAATGGAAGTGAGCCGGACCCTACTCGTCTGTGGCCCCCAAGTAGTGAGATGTGTGCGGCAGGCCACTGAGGCCACAGAAAGACAGAAAGATGACAAATGCAAAAAGCACCAGATGACGGCCAGACCGCCACCAGGGCCGTGGACTCTGCTCAGAGCAAGCCGCCGGATGGCAGGCCATCCCATGCTGGAAGACTGGGGCCCAGGCAGGGTTCTGCCCGAAGGTTGTGGGTTTATGATGAAAAGGCGGGAGGGCAAACCCCTTTAGAGACAAAGCGCCGTGACTCCCTGCAGCTCTCACCACCCGCTTGTGTATGACTGGACCGGAGGTTCACCGGAGTCCGTAATTTCCAGTGTGACATCAGGAATT